AGTTATACTTTTGACAATTATAGAAACACTAAAAAAAGTTATGCACTCAGAATGTATGATCCTATCACTTTTACGCGTGTGTGTGCTTCACTTCATATGTACAGAAAAGTTAAAAGAATGCCGAATAGGCATATTTATCCATTCTCTTGTAGGAATGATAAAAAACTTCCAAGGGGAAAATATTTGCAAAATAATCCATGGCACATAAAATTATTTAAGAAAAAAATAAATCAATAAATATCTCTGTTAAGTTTATATATAGTTTTATATGCTTGGGTAAGGAAGAAAAAAAGTTGTGATACATTTTGCTGGTTATTTGGAGAGAGAAAATATAGAAAGAGCAGAAAGAACATGATTAGCCTTGTCTTTGTTTAAAACTTTTCCTTTTTAAATTTGATACACTATTTACCATCAAATTTAAAACAACACCATTGCTATAAAACAATATACAGACAAGCTAAGAAGAAAAAGAAATTTACTATGTAAAAAAAAAGCAGGAACTTATAGGCAGAGTATTAAGGGGAAGTTAAAATTATAAAGACCTATAAGCTTTCAGAGCAGTACAGACCTCACAGCTGAAGCTGGGATTTTAATGTCCTTATGAAAGAGATGACAAAAAAGAGCCAGAATTACATTGTTTGCCTTAATCCTGGAGCTTCAAAATGCTCCCAGGCTTTATAAACTAAAAGTATTATACCCCAAAGATCCAGAAATTGGAAACTGGATGTTTGGTCAGGTCTTTGGGTGACAAATAAAAAGGAAAAGTTAGGAGAGAAAAATTGAATCTTCAGGCTGTGTCTCACATGTGTTTGGAATGAAATACACTCTGCATGGAATGTACACCATACACCCAAAACCTGACAAAAAGGTCCATAACCATTAAAACCCTTGGGGACCCTGGCATTAAGAAATTAAATACGGTTCTGGAGTAAACTTCTGTTTCCAACCAAGATGGATTAACAGGAATTAGATTTAACGTCTTGCTTGAAACAGCTAACACCCCACCCCCCACCCTGCCCCCCTCCACACACACGTACACACAACACGTGAAACAACGGTTGTCAAGACATTGGAAGTCAGGCAACAGAAGACAATGATCTCTGAGAGATGGAAACAACCAAGCTGAGAACTATGACTGTCTTAATACCTGGAGGGATTTTCCAGGCCGTGGGCCAGAAAGCAGAATCCAGGCAGAGCTGGGTGATCTCACTGAGCTCAGAGTCAGAGTTGGAAATACAAGATCAAAGCAGCTAGATTTCACATGACAGGGCATTGAAAAGTCGATTGCTGCACAGAGAGAATCCTGGAGACCTTCCTAGGGTCTCTCTTAACCTTTCAGCTGTGCTGTAAGCAGTACATGTGTGAGGAGATTCCCTAAGGTTGGAGAAAGAGCCACTCAACAAGATTAGGGGAAACAATGCCTAGAGCTCACAAAGGGCTGAAAGTTATACATACATATAGATAGATAGATAGATAGATAGATAGATAGATAGATAGATAGATAGAGAGCAGTGAGAATGGGAAACTTAATAATTCATGGGTCAATGAGCAGAGGTTTCAGATGACTTTTGCCTCAGTATTAAAGCAAAACAAGCCCTTCACTAAATTTGGCTCCTGGTCTATGTGGGCGAGACTTTAAAATATCAAACTGTTTACAAGTAACTCAAGTCTCAGAGCAAAACTAAAGAACATTTCTAAGGTACAAGAACATCTGTTTGGAGATATCAGTATGAGTTTATTGTTTTTAAACATATAGATAAAATGGTGAAGAAATGAATACATACCTGTGTGAATAACGGGTTGGTGTATATATATGTATTTCATAGTTCTGTCCACTTAGAAGACCACTAGTGCCCAGATGTTTGTTGCCAAATATTGTTCTCCAATTAAAAAAATGAAAGGTGGTTCTAGGACCCTGAGGTAAAAAATACAAGAATGTTGTAATGAGGTGTGTTCCAAAAAAAAAAAAAAAGAAAGAAAAAGGATGGGACACATCTCAAAAGGACAGAGGAATCCATCTGAAAGAGCTTCCCCAATGACTAAGGCTGGAACAATTTGTAAAAGAAAATCTGTAAGTTCACACTGAAAATGAAATGATTAAATAAATAAATAACAAAAAATGTAAGACAGGACAATCTCTTACTGAAGAATTCCAAATTGCAAATGTAGAAGAAACAGAGGGAAATAGAAAAGTCACTGTGACAACACCACTGTGAGTAGTTGCCACACATAAGACCCAATGACGAGTGCTAAAATTAGTGGGTGTAACTTTAAGAAGAAATGGATCATTTGTACAGTTACAAAGTATCGTCCCCAAAATATTAATTAAGATAGTGGTTTTAACATATGCCCATACATTCTTTTATACTCATTCCCCTAGATTCCACTCTCCTGGGAAGTGGAATAGAAAAATGGTAACCAAGTGACCAAAGTTAATAAACATGACCCGTAATAAGTCTTGTGAACCTCATGTGCATTCTCTTATGATGCAATGTTGTGATGTTATCATGTGACTACATATCTGTAATATTCCTCTCCCAAATCTATAATTCCTGTCTAATAATGAGAAAGCATCAGACAAATCCAAGTTGAATGACATTCTACAAAACACCTGACCAGTAATCTTCAAATGTCAACATCATTAAAAACAAGGAAAGAGGCTGTCACAAATTGAAGAACACTAAGAAGATATGACACTTAAATGTAATATGGGATCCTGGATTAGGTACTAAGGCAGGAAAAGGTCATTATCAGAAAAACTGGGGAAATCTGATTACAGTCTTTAGTTTAGTAAAACTGAACTGTCTTTAGTTTAGTAAAACTGAACTTGACAACTGTGCCAGTGTCAAATTCATAGTTTGTGTGATGTTAGCACCAGCGGGTGTTGGATGAAGGATATAAAGTCACTTGGTAGTATTGTTATAGCTATAGGACATTAGTTCTCCAGCTTTGGGTCACCTGAGTCCCTACCAAGCCAATTTGTGAGGCTGCTGTTAGTTGTCCTTACTCCCCAGACTTGGAGCTCTCAAATAGACCTAGAATTCAACCTCTTCTTCTTCTTGACCTCTGCTTCACTGCATCATAAACATGGCGGAGTGGAAGGGTAGTGAGGGAGGCTGAGCAGAAGCCCATTATTAAGAAGCCCATCACTAGAGCTTCTCTGATGGTTCACTGAGACAGGGGCTCCCTCTGTAGTCTCCTTTGTGCACAGTCCCAAGCATGCTGGGCCACATAGACTCCACCAAAGCTAGTTTTTATGAGGAGGCAAATATTGAGGCTCCACTGTGAAGAAAATGTCCATGTCAGATTTATGTACAAAAGATTAAAGTTGATGCACTACTATTGCAGGAAAATGATACCTGTGAGAATTTCCAAAAGCCAGATTTTGTATTGTGTGGCTGGCTGAATAATACCCCTCCCCACAAAGACATCCACATCCTAATCCCTGGGATCTGCCTCTGTTACCTTAGATGGTGAGAGTGGACTTTACAGATGTGATGAAGTTAAGGATCTGGAGATAAGGAGATTATTTTGGATGAGCCTGGTGGTCCTTAATGTAATTACATGTGTCCTTATAAGAGATAGCCAGCGAGAGATCAGACACAGATGGAGAAAAGAAGGCAATGTGACCATAGGGGAAGAGATTAGAGTGATGTGACCACAAGTCGAAGAGTGAGGCAGCCACTAGAAACAGAGGCAAGGAATGAATCTTCTCCTATATCCTCTAGAGGGAATGTGGTCCTGATGACACCTGGATTTTGGTCCAGTGACATTGATTTTGGACTTTTCCAGAACTGTGAGAATAAATATCTGCCATTATAAGCCAGCAATTTTGTGGTAGTTTTTATAACAGCTACTCAAAATTAATATACTCCAATATGTCCAGTTAAACTGAGACTAGGCCAAGAAACTCATGTCCTCATAATATTTTCTGTAAAACTTGCTCTCATGTTTTTATCTGACACCCATCTCAAACTACAAAGGAAGAAAATAATTTTGAGACTTTAATGTCCCCCTGTCTGGGGTATGCCTTCCATAGGTTATTGGAAAAGTCTAGTCTCCTTTCAAGATTTTATTCCAGCAGTACCTCCTCTTGAAAGAGTTTTAGGCATTGTATGATGTTCTCAGTGCACATATTAGAAAGAAAAAAGACAAAGACTCATGTCTGCTTGATGTTTACATTTTTGCGGGGAGGGAGAGACAGAGATAAACAAATAAATAAGGCATTTAGTGTATTAGCAAGTGATACCTGCAATGTAGACAAGAAAAGGCAGACTAAGGTGAGGGAGAGCAGGACTGTCAGAGTAAGGAGCGCTGAAATGACAATATATTGTTCAGAGTAGGGCCAATGAGGAAGTGACCTTTGAGCAATGATTTCAAGATGAAAGAAAGAGACATGTAGGTATCTGGGGGAAAAGCATTCCAGGCAGAGGAAGGGGCCAGTGCAAAGGCCCTAAAAAATATTTTAGGATCAATGAGGAGGCCCATATTACTGAAAATTTAAGGAAGGGAGTGGTAGAGTTTACGTCAGAGAGGTAGTGGGGCAGGATGGATCATACAAGACCTCGATGGCCTTAAGTGCTTTGTTGCTTTGTTTTCTTATTCCAAGCTAGTAGATGATTTGGAGATGAGTGACATGATCTAGCAGGTTCTAGAGGGCTGAGTTTGAGAGCTAATTCAGAAGTAGAGTAGATGAAAGCAGGGAGATCAGTTAGGAATCTATTGCAGTAATCCAGGAAAAAGATGATGATGGCTTTGTTCCAAGGGTTAGCAATGAAGGTGAAGAAAAAATGGATAGATTCTGAGTATATTTTGATGATAGAGCCACTTGAATTTCCTAATGGATTGGCTATAGGGTGGGATAGAAAAAGAATATTCGAGGACCACTCTAAGGTTTTCAGCTGGAAGGCTGTTGGTGAAGCAAAGTTGAGGATAATCTTTCATGTTTTGAGCATGCTGTTTGAGAATGGTGGGGGTGGGTGGGAAACTTGATTGGAGTGCATTAGAGAGATAATGGGAAAAGAGAATTTGAAGGTAAGTATTGATCATTAGCAATAGCAACAATAACTACCATAAGTTGAAATGCCCCACAGTCTTTGGGGATGTGATACATGAGGGTAGGCAGGGCTAGATGGGATGAGGTAGGATCTAGACATCAGACTCAGGAGATATGAGTGGTATATATAAGGTTAACATCTAGTCAAATGTATAAACAGGTTGATTTTAATTGACGTCGGTTTTTCTCCATTGCCCCCTCTAGAGGCAATCTTCAGAGAGTCCTGGCTAGGTCTTCTATGTTTCCTGTCCCTAGAGGGAGCTCCTGAGGCTGTGGACATCCGTTAACATGCTGATGTCACTGGAGACCACATCTTACAGGGCCAAGAGACAGATTTGCTTTCCTTTTTCTCATGCTTGCAAGCTCCTTCACCCGGAAACATGATTTACCTGGGTCCTGCCATGGTTTCTAGGCTTCTCAGTTTAGTGTCCCTTTGTCTCCTGGGAGCAAGTGAGTCTTCAGGTACTTAAATATCTGTTCTCTACTCTATCCAGTCTATTCATGCCATGTATTGTCATGTATTCTGTTTTTGTCTCTTCCCACAGAACATACAGAAGCTGGAGTTACTCAGTTCCCCAGCCACAGGGTAATAGAGAAGGGCCAGACTGTGACTCTGAGATGTGACCCAATTTCTGGACATGATTATCTTTATTGGTATCGACGTGTTATGGGAAAAGAAATAAAATTTCTGATATCCTTTATGAGAGTGTCTACGCAGGATGAGTCCGGTATGCCCAACAAGCGATTCTCAGCTGAAAGGACTGGAGGGACGTATTCTACTCTGAAGGTGCAGCCTGCAGAACTGGAGGATTCTGGAGTTTATTTCTGTGCCAGCAGCCAAGACATAGTGCTTCACAGTCATGTCCTTGCTGTACAAAACCATAGCCTTCTCCTCTCAACTCACAGCCGCCCAAAAGGAAGGCTTTCCCTGTGCCTCCTCCCCCAAGGGAGGGGAGATAAAGAACCAGAACTAACTCATGAAATACAAGAGTATTCCAAGAAGATTTGGATGAAAATACTTGTAGTTTGGGGGATCTCTGAAGTTCTTTAAACAGAACTCAATCTATGTGTTTCTGGTTTTATTTTTTAAAGTGTTATGTTGCCCTGGTTAAAAAGCACAGCAGCCTTCTTGTTTATCCTGTTGCTCTGAAAGGTTTGTGACTCTGACTGTGAGGCCACATCTTTATATCCCTTCTTATAGTAAGATAAACAAGTCTTTCTGATGAAAATAAAAATAGTGAATAAAAATGCATTTACTACAGGCTTTTATGTTGCTCAATGATGATGCTAGTAAGGGTGATAGTGGTGACGCTGGTAATGGTGGTGATGAGTTTAGGTTGCTTTTGTCTAGCATTTATAAATTTCCAAACACTTTAAAACAATGTCATTTTAGAGTGGAACGGCCAAGTCCATTATCAGAGGTTAATGCTAATTTTCTCTCCACATAGGGTCTGGGTTTGTAATGTTAAAAAATACAGTTAGCGGCCGGGTGCGGTGGCTCAAGCCTGTAATCCCAGCACTTTGGGAGGCCGAGACGGGTGAATCACGAGGTCAGGAGATCGAGACCATCCTGGCTAACACGGTGAAGCCCCGTCTCTACTAAAAAAATACAAAAAACTAGCCGGGCGAGGTGGCGGGCGCCTGTAGTCCCAGCTACTCGGGAGACTGAGGCAGGAGAATGGCGTGAACCTGGGAGGCGGAGCTTGCAGTGAGCTGAGATCCAGCCACTGCACTCCAGCCTGGGCGACAGAGCGAGACTCCATCTCAAAAAAAAAAAAAAAAATATAGTTAGCACTATAAATAGATACGTGTCAGTTGATACAGAACATTTTTAGAGATCACTTCCAGTTGCTGCAATAGGAATATATATTCTTATTTTTTTTTCTTTTTTTGAGACAGAGTCTTGCTCTGTCACCCAGGCTGGAGTGCAATGGCACAATCTCAGCTCACTGCAACTTCTGCCTCCTGGGTTTAAGTGATTCTCCTGCGTCAGCCTCCCAAGTAGCTTGAATTACGAGCACCCACCACCAAGCCCGGCTAATTGTTGTATTATTAATAGAGACCATGTTTCACCATGTTGGCCAGGCTGGTCTTGAACTCCTGACCTTCAGTGATCCACCTGCCTTAGCCTCCCAAAGTGCTGGGATTACAGGTGTGAGCCACCGCGCCCAGCCTTTTGTTCTTTTTGAGACAGGGTTTCATTCTGTCACCCCGGCTGGAGTGCTATGGCAGTGTGATCACGGCTCACCACAGCGTCGACTTCCTGGGCTGAAGCAGTCCTCCTGCCTCAGCCTCCCTAGTAGATGGGACTATAGGTGTACCTGATCATACCCAGCTAATTTTTGCATTTTTTGTAGGGACAGGTCTCACTATGTTGCCCAGGCTAGCCCCAAACTTCTTGGCTCAAGTGATCCTCCTGCCTTGGCCTCCCAAAGTGCTGGGATTATAGGCATGAGACACCATGCCTGGCCTGGAATATGTAATTCTTAGTGGGACCTAATAGTATAACACATTCTACTTGGTTCAACTGCCTTCTTTTAACATCTGGATTCCAATATTCTGCTCGTGTTTCAGCCACGTTTTTGCAAACAATCCTGAAATTCACTATAATAATAAGTTTCATTTTCCCAGTCTGATTGTTATTTAGAACCTCAAATTATTATTGAACTCATATCCTAATACTGATTATGCAAATGAATACTGAGAAAATATTACAAGTGGGCTTGGATTTTTATTTTTTCAAGCGATTTAAAACCTATTTTCTTTTCTAATAATCAAGACCCAATTTTTAGACAATCAGTACTCTCTCTTCCTATGTGGACATGTAATATGAATAGGTATATTGTTTCTGTCACAGGCATCACAAACATATCTTGCTTGAAACTTGTCCATCAACTCCTTTAGTATGACAAGAACAAAGATAAATGGATTTCTAAAGCATAGTCACATATTGGACATGAGTTTTTGTTCAAAATTTCAGCTAGAGAACTCTAACAGGTAGCATAGTCATATATTGGACATTAGTTTTTGTTCAAAATTTCAGCTAGAAAACTCTAACAGGTGCCTTTCCTTTTATTGTGTTATGTAATCCAAGGTCATCATAAGTAACTAAATTATTGATTTATTTTTCCACTCTGTAATCTCTCCATTATATTTAAAAATAGCAGCTATGAGGCAAAACAAGTTCTTGGTGGGTACATTGCTTCAACTCCAAAATCTAACAAGTGGAAGTTTAATTCAGTGCTTTGCCATTTCATACTATAGACACCGAATGTTCTATCCTGTAATGGGCAGACAGTGGCTCTATAGTTCTGTTAGCCCAGGTGGTATCTTTATGTACAATTTTTGTAATGTTATTTTATTTGTTAATCTTTCTTAAGGTATGATTGACAGAAAAAAATTGTGTATATTTAAGGTATACAAGGTGATGTTTTGATATACATATACATTGCAAAATGATTACCACACTCAAGCTAATTAACATATCCATCACCTCATAAAGTTACTTTTGTGTGTGTATGTATGGTGAAAATGATCTACTCTCAGAAAATTTCGAGTGTACAATAATCATTAACTATAGTCACTGTGTTGTCCATTAGGTCTCCAAAACTTTCGAGCACACTCCAAAACATCAACTTTTATTCTGATTAAGCCTCAAATATGTCTTCATGTTCCAGTTAATAGCTATTTTTAGAGTAGCTATGAATAACGAAGAATACTGGCATAAAAGATGGAAAGAATAAATGAAGATAAGGCCTCTAAGGTCTTTGGACTTTCCAGGAAGTGATAAAAGCTGCAATTTAAAGTATACACGAAGAAGTCAAGGATGGCAACTCCTATAAACAGCTGATACTTCAAACCTGGAATGTCTAGTGCTAAGCAGCCTGGACTCCTGCACCCAGCACACCTCTCTTTGACGTGATAGGAGGATGACGTGATAGGAGGACCCGGGTCTTCTCCTCCCATGCTGCCCTTGGCCTTTACGTTTTTCCTTTCATCAGTAAAGGTTCTGTCTTAATTATTACCCTATGACAGGAAGTTCATCCTAAACCTGGACAGGTGAGAGATGGCAACTCTGAAGCAACCCCCTGGGCATGACACCACATGAGGCCACACCCAGAACAAATTGCAAGAACTAACGAGGTATTTTCTACAGAATCCCTAAGAGAACATGTCTGTCTGGATGTAAGTGTCTACAGTCATAAATACACAGCATACGATTGGATAAGATGGAATGAAAGCCTTTCAGTGCTTCACAGTGCCCATCACTCTCATTGTCCTGAAGTGGTGTTGGCAGTGGGCTCAGCAGGGTGCTGTGAGGATGGTGAGGCTACATGCATACGTTGCTGACCAAGTTGGCTACACAGATGGACTAGACTCACCCTGTGATGGTAGACAGAGCTTACCAATGGGGTTCCATGAATGGACAACAGGCAATCTGCTGTAATAATCTCCTCAACCATGATGGAAGTCAGGCAAGACCCAGGCCATGGGAACCTTGAAAACAGTCACCTCTAGCATCAAGTATTTTCTACTGTTTGCCTCACTGTGCCTACAAATGTCATTTATGATACATTTTCAAATTTTCATGTTTATTAAAATTATTATCAGCCTTATCCAATCTGATATTTTGAATGAAATCATATTAAAACTATATATTAATTTAAGAACTGGTATCTTCATAATAGGGAGTCTTCTATAGGTTCCTAGACAACTAAAATACCATGGATTGCCACCTTAGACTTGAAATGGATGATCCTTATTCTTCTCTCAGTCAGACCAGTGAAAGGTACAGATTCATGGCAGCTAGTCCAGCAAGCCTCTAATAGTCAACTTCTAATCGTCTCCTTTAGGACAAAAAAGAAACGATATGCTTAGGAAGGCCACCATGCAACTGAGTGTATCTGAATCATCCTTACATAATATCATTTCTTACTATGTGTCCTCAACATCCTGCTCTGCATATATTTCTCCACCATCTCCAAAATCCTCTTAGCCCAGTGCTCCTCAAACTTTAATGTGCATGTAAATTATGACCTTGTTAAAATGCGGATTGTAATCCAATCAGTCAGGGTTGGAGCCTAAGATTCCCTGTATTTTGAACGAGAGTCCAAGTGATGCCAAAGCTGCCAGTCTATGACCACACTGAGTGGTCAAGCTCTAGATGACACCTATAATAATTACAGGGATAAGGCCCCTCTTCTCAAATATCATTTTGCACAGTTCCTGGACTAGGTCAGATACAGACCCTACTTACCACATATATCTCTGTACTACAAATATTATGTAATCAGTTTTCCTAAATCTAGGCACCAATATTTTAAAATATATTTTCATGGTGTAAATATAAATTAATTTTCTATAGTAAATACACTAAGTACCTAATCACATTCATCCATCTTTAATGTGAGTAGCAAAAAGCAAAGGCACTATCTTAATGGTTTTTGAGTGAGACTTTAGCAAATGCTATCTTTATGGAGAAACCTCTGGGCTGCTTTTTAGGATGTGAGAAAAGTGGGGTAAAGGGAGGAGAACTGGATAAACATGGCACAGAGACAGGGATGGGGCAAATATGGGGACACCTGTCTCAAAGAAGAAGCAAATGATATAGAAAATAAATATCTGTTCCATCCCTGTTCCAGACAAGCCCATGTACCTGCAAAGTAGGAAGTTGTGTATCACATTGCAACAAGGAATGATCCTGGCCCCGGTAAAGTCAACAGTAACAGTCATCACAGGCGAATCTGCCTATCAGGGATTGGAGACTCTCTAAACTCCCACCTATCAACCCAGGAATCAGAGCCTGAGACAGACAGATGCTTCAATCTTGCATGAGGTGGTATTCCCGCCATGAGTCCTGGGCTTCTCCACTGGATGGCCCTTTGTCTCCTTGGAACAGGTGAGCACTGGGCAGAAAGGAAATCTTTGACTAAAGCTATCTTGTCCTCAGTCTACGCCTTTCATTCATAGCAGTAACACTGTTCTCCTTAACTCTGACTCCAAATTTGTCTTCTTTCTCTACAGGTCATGGGGATGTCATGGTCATCCAGAACCCAAAATACCAGGTTACTCAGTTGGAAAAGCCAGTGACCTTGAGTTGTTCTCAGAATCTGAACCATAAGGTCATGTACTGGTACCAGCAGAAGCCAAGTCAGGCCCCAAAGCTGCTGTTCCACTACTATGACAAAGATTTTAACAATGAAGCAGACACCCCTGATAACTTCCAATCCAGGAGGCCAAACACTTCTTTCTGCTTTCTTGACATCCGCTCACCAGGCCTGGAGGATGCAGCTGTGTACCTTTGTGCCAGCAGCAAAGACACAGAGGTGCAGTGCTGCCTCCCCTTTGTTCATAAACCTCATTGTTTCCCAGATCCAGGTGCTTTCTCTAGGACTTCACCCCCGCCACCTCTCACAACAATAGGAAGTGGGTTTGTGACTGTCAATATCTCATTTGTAGACAGAGTTGAGTACAAACCAATAAAAACCATTGACAGTTATGCCAAGAATGGAAAAGTGGTTATACATGCCTGACATTCAGTTGGTGGTATTTTCCCAGAATTACATTTAGAACCCGTGCTATCCTTTTCAGAAGACGAATAGGAATTTTTTCTTTCTTTTTTTCATTGTTCTAATCTAAGTCAGAGGCTTAGAAATATAAGAGGTGATATGTGAAGAATGATGGAGACCCAATGTCATATAAACTCAAGTCTCTGGCATTCGATTAATTTTTATAGGATTTCATCCTCCTGGAGAATCCATGTTTTTAGCCCAGACCTGGAGCAACTACCTCATTAATGGGAGAATGAAAGCACAGGTGTCCCAAGATAAAAATCTCTCAGAGGAAAAACCACATTGGAGAGGGAAAAAAAAAGAAGACCATACATTAATCTGCTCATATCTGGAGCTGGAGGTACTATTGTGACGACCAAATGGAAATCATAAATATATAAAGAAATGATGCTGAAAATAGAGTACATTTGGAGATGAAGATCATGGAGCCATCTGTATAGAAGACAGTAACAATGTCATTAAGGTGCACAAGAGCGCCAGCAAAAGTCAATAAGAAAAACTACAGGAGGGAAGAAGATGGAAGATCCTGCTCCCCTTAACGAAGATAAACAAAATGCTGAGTGAGAAATATTGCAACCTCATAAATTGTCACATGGAAGTATATAATTACAAATTACTTGATAATTAAAATCCCTCAATGAGAATGTATTCTGAGAAAAAAAGCAGAAAATATAGTTATATGGCTATCTAAAATTGTAAAATTTTGCACATTAAATAAAGATAATCTAGGAAAAACATGACAAGATCTATTACAAAAGAGCTTTTACAAATTGTTTGCTTTAAAGATATTAATGATAATATAATGATGGCTAACATTTACTAAGCACTTAATACATGCTAGACCTTAAGTCTTCTTCACATATATTTATAGTTCATGTAAGTTTTACAACAACCTCAGAAAGTTAGTACTATTGTAACCTCACTCATTTATCCATGAGGAAACTGAGACACAGACAAGTAACTAGCCCTTTATCGTGTATCTCGTTTGTGATGGAGCCAGGATCAAAATGTAGACAATTTATTTCCCAGGCTCATTCTCTCTTCAGAGTTTACATGGATTCTAAGTCAGACCTTCGAATAGGAAGGTAAATGGTTAAAACTGGAAGATTTCCACACTCTCACCAACATTGCTCTTGCTTTTCTTTGGGTCTTGGCCAAAGGGGTGAGCCCTGGTGACTATGCCTCACTGGTTGACTAACACTGAGTTGTACTGAGGACCAACATAGAGTAAGAAGGTCTTTGGGATAAACCTGGGAGGATGAAAGGTAAAAAATGCAGAACTTAAATCTTGATCCCAAGGGATCCTTTAAAGATGAATGAGTCTCCCTCAGAAGGTGAGAAATTAAACATAAACTCTTTAACTTGTAGAGATGTGAGGTGTCTTCCTCAAATAGTAAACTTTGAACCATGGTTATATGCATGGTAGGGAACCTATGAGGGTGGAACATGGATGAAGAAGTGACAGGCTGTCCGGGGACAGGTGCAGGCAGAAAATCAGCTGCCTCCAAGAGTGATGAGAGAAGCTATAGAGCATCCTTTATCCAGACTAGCCCAACATGCAGTCCAGAAAGCTGTGAGATACGAGGAAAGGGTCACCATAAACTGCAAGCTGACTATGTCAGAAATGACACGTGGAGTCCGAGAGTGGGTACGTGTGGTGGTATCACAGATATACACCCACCCTCTTCCCGCCCAACCGAGAGAGAAGAGACCTACAGGTTTAGCACTTTCACCACAGGGACTAGAACCCTGGATTTAGCTAGAGAGGCTGGCTTAGACCTTTTCATGCTTCTTCCGTATGAACCATACAATTTGGAACCATACTATTTAGAGATGATTGATTAATTTATACAACCTGCATAAAGCCTGTCTTTCCAGAGGAAGCTCAGGTTCAATAAAAATAGATTTCTCTCTTGTCCTTCTCAATCTTCCCTCCCTCCTTCTTTCCTTTCTTCCTGCCTGTCTGGCTTCCTCATTAAGGGTAGACATGAACTAGCCACCTGTATATTCTCTGAGTTATGCTGTTAGTGCTGACCACACATTAGTTTAACCTAGAAAAACAAACCCTGTTTTATTTTATCTGAGAGTCTGAGACCCCTCTTTGATCCTTAAAAACTTGCCAATTTCTTGCCAAGCAAACATGTGCAGGGTTTTAGAGAGCTGTAGGTAATAGAGACAAAATAGAAACACCACACAGAATTTGGAGGCAGAGCCTTTAGAGCTCTGAAGCTTGAGGACCCGCTGCTGCTCCAAGCCTGCCTTATAGCACCAGGTTCCTCTGCTGTGAGTCCCTTTGCCTCCTGAGGGCAGTGAGTCCTGGGCATAGATAGCCTGTCTGCCTTGTCCACTAACACTGTAGTCTTTTTCCACACCTTCCTCTGGTAGTCCAATATTCACCCCCATTTTCCTCTCCAGCCCCTGCTCTTATACTCTAGTCCCACAGACTCTGTGGATACCCTGATTACAGAGAAACAGAGGTGACACTCAGATGTGAGTGATGAAACTTACAATGGTGTAAACAAGACTCAGAACTTAGACTGCCTGTTGATGTTCATTCTTATGTCATTGGTTCAGCAAATATGTATTTAGGAACTCCTGTGTAACAGACATTGTTCCAGATTCTGGAAATAAGGTAATAAACAAGCCAGATAGACTTGTTTTAAACTCCTGAAAGTTATAAACCAAAGAGATGTACATGATGCGAACAATGCCACTCTGGATAAGAAGGAACCTGTTACCTTAACACTGGCCAGTGCAAACCCAGTCTGGCAGACATCTGTATCATCTAGACTTGTGAGGAATCCTACAGCTGTATAGCTCTCTGCATTTAAGGGCAAGCCTAGACAAGACAGAACCTTACTCTCATGAATCCATGCCCTAAGAAAGAGAAGAAACTTCCCTCGTAGGAACATGGATGCAGTCTCGCAGTTTTCTCATCAAGTAGGAAAATTCGAACTGCTAAAACTTTGCGCCAGAATTTAAGACAAATAAATTGCCTGGGCCATGCATTATTTACAATGCATTTAACTATTTTCCCTAATGTAAATCTGTTGATGAACTACTTCTGTGGCATATAAACAGGACTTATATTTAAACGTCAGATGTGGTGCTTTAGAAGATATATTAAAATTATTAGAGTCTGACTTACATTTTTAATAGTAATACAAAATATAAAGTACCACAGCTTGCTCAGAAGAAACGGGATTTCTGAAATCTTCCAGAATAGCTTTCTAAAAGCCACTATCTTATGGTCTTTAGTGGGCTAAAATACTTATAATGATGGATTGGAAAAATGGATGTTTGAGTGCATAAGGTTCACAAGTTTAAGAAAGAACTGGTAACTCCTAGCTATAGATTGTCGGTTTCAGAGGATGAGAATGAATGTGTCCTCATCCTCATTTTAATTTTGAAAGACAATGCAGATATCCCTACCATGGAATAGTTTATTACATCACCACCTACAGAGATGAACAACACTAGATGTTTCCAACTCTCTAAGAGGCCAAGAAGTATTAACCCAAGGTCAGATTCAGGTAATTGATCGTGACTCATGAATTTCAGAGATCCCCAATGGTTATTTTTAAATTTTCAGCAGTTACGTCTTTTTCTCTGGGGAGAGGGTATTTAAAGCTTCTCACGCAGCCATTCTGGAACTACCTCTACCCTCCTGCCCCCTGCCCCGAAAACAGTTTACAGAAATAGGTGTCCGGACCGTGGGCTGTAGTTCACCAACTCCTGCTCTAGCCTAATTTTGTCTCGTTACTAGAGCATGGACATTCTGTGGATACTGGTGAAGCTTTTCTGGGGTTTCTCTCCAATGCCTTTTAAAGCTTTTTCCTACACAGACACAGAGTACTGTTTAGCCCAAAATTTAAGATAATTCCTCCAGACATCTGGAGTTCTTGTGCAGCTTCCTCCTCTCTGGTGGTCTTTCCTTGAAAATTCTAGCTGCCTCAGCCCCTGCTGATTTTGTAACCTGTTTCCGCAACTCAAACTTTGCCATGTTCTGTTGCTCTGTTCCCCACTCTGTGTGTGCAGAAATTGCCCTCATGTTTTGGTGCTTTGGCAGAATCACAGTTCTGTGCTGCCTGCTTTCCAGTGGCTGAATACAATTGTTTCGTATATCCTGTGAATTTGTGTTACTTGTATACAGCAGGATGCCAAAGGCGATTGGATTCTATGAAGTGATCACGTCACAGAGAACCTGCCGATAGAGGTGGAGAGAGCCACACAGAGAGCCGCCTGCCTCGGCTGCCTGCTCTTCCGTTGATTCTGCCATGAGCCCCATATTCACCTACTTCACAATCCTTTGTCTCCTGGCTGCGGGTAAGTTCCTGTTCTGCAATCGTCAGCTCCCTGCTCTAAGCCTTTCATCCATGTCATCAAACTCCCTCATGGGCTCAGTCTCTAACTTCCGTCTGCTTTCTTTACAGGTTCTCCCGGTGAAGAAGTCACCCAGACTCCAAAACATCTTGTCAAAGGGGAAGGAGAGAAAGCAAAATTATATTGTGACCCAATAAAAGGACACAGTTATGTTTTTTGGTACCAACAGGTCCTGAGAAAAGAGTTCAAGTTCTTGATTTCCTTCCAGAATGAAAATGTCTTTGATGAAACAGGGATGCCCAAGGAAAGATTTTCAGCTAAGTGCCCCGCAAATTCGCCCTGTAGCCTTGAGATCCAGGCTACGAAGCTGAAGGATTCAGCGGTGTATTTTTGTGCCAGCAACCAATCCACAGTGTTAAATATTAGCTAATCTTAGGGCACAAACTCATCACAGACCCAGCTCAGGAAGCAGGTGGTGTACTAGGTTGGAAGGAAATAATAGAAACTAGGACTAGCTTAAGCCAAAGGGGAATATATTATAAGGCTAAATGTATGTCCCATAGAACCACAAAGCAAGAACACAGGAACTTCCCAGAAATAAACTGCAGTGAAACCTTAGAACCGGTGGCTCACGCCTGTAAACCCAGCACTTTGGGAGGCTGAGGCAGGCGGATTACGAGGTAAGGAGATCAAGATCATCCTGACTAACACGGTGAAACTCCGTCTGTATTTAAAAAATAAAAACAAAAATATTAGCCGGGCATGGTGGTGGCGGGCGCCTGTAGTCCCAGTTACTCCAGAGGCTGAGGCAGGAGAATGGCATGAACCCGGGAGGTGGAGCTTGCAGTGAGTGAACTGAGGTAGCACCACTGCACTCCAGCCTGGGTGACAGAGTGAGACTCCGCCTCAGGAAAAAAAAAAAAAAAAGAAAGAAAGAAAGAAAGAAGGAAACTTTAGAACCATGGCATGGCCAACTGACAACTCATTTTTTATATACCTTGTCCGCCTGATTGTTCTCTTTTATTATAAGTAGTCTTTTCTGTTTCTTAGCTCTCACAGTGATTAGAAAATTGCAGATTCAGATGTTAGCCCTCCAGTCAATTGAGACTAACCTGACTTTCTCTCATGCTAGATTACAAATCTAGAGTGGGGGGGAGGGGGGTGGCGGGAAATGTGATCTTGTTTTACTCAATAATGTGCTCATGGAAATCCAAGGGAATTGAGTTATTTTGAACAAGATGGTATCTGGGAGCCTGTCCCTCTGACCTTGTGGACCAAGGATTTCAAGGGGCGGAATCCAGTCAGAACATCCAATAGGCACCCATCACAAGTGAGAAGTCAGGGATAATTAATACATTTTCTAGAATATGGAAACCTTGGGAAAAGAGAAGGTTTGGAGAGAGGATCAAAACCTTAGTATTTAGAACAATATCAGACCACATAAAAGTTCTGGTTAATCTTTCTTTAAAAAATTAAACCGGCCAGGTGTGGTGGCTCACAGCTGTAATCCTAGCACTTTGGGAGACCAAGGAGGGCAGATCACCTGAGGTTGGGAGTTCGAGATCAGCCTGACCAACATAGAGAAACTCCATCTCTACTAAAAATACAAAATTAGCCAGGTGTGGTGGCACATGCCTGTAATCCCAGCTACTCAGGAGGCTGAGGCTGGAGAATCTCTTGAACCTGGGAGGGGGAGGTTGTGGTGAGCCGAGATCACGCCACTGCACTTCAGCCTGGGCAACAAGAGTGAAACTCTGTCTCAAATACATAAATAAATAAATAAAATAAAATAGAAGAAAAAAAAGTAATCCTAGATAACACAAAAAGCATGTTCATTTTAAGTGTGACAACTTCAGCTCCTACAAATTTGCTAACTGGCCTTTATGGCACTGAAGGAGAACAGATTAATGTGCTCTTGGTGTAAAACATATTAATGCACAAACAATTAAAAAATCTTTAGGTATATGATTCAAATTATAACGAGCAGCAATGTATTCAACATCAATATTCCTAATGAGGCATTATGGTATCAACATTACCTAGGCAGGAGACACACTTATGTTGAGCGGTTATAGAATTCAAAATAACTCTGCTAAAATCTGATAATCCAATCTGTTCACAGATCTGGTCACCACCGAGAATTCGCCTTGAGAGAAATTCCTTTATTCTCTTTATTCCTTTATTCTCTCTCCAGTAACATCTGCTCTTATTTCAGTATAAGTTGAATCCAGTTGTCTTACTTCCAGAAGTACAAAGTTACTTCTTTTCTTCGGAAAAAAAAAATCACTCTGACCCCTGCAAACAGAAGTTCTCACTTTATCACTTTTCTGATCTATTTAATATTATGCCTTCTCATTTCAAGTTCCTTTTCCTTCTCTCCCTCAAGCCCAGTCTTGCTGTTGGTGGTCTACATCTTTGCTTTTGTCACAGAGAAGTCACTCCTCTAGATGCCATCTTCAGCTTTTTCTTGAAATATTTCCATTCTAACAAAACTGTTCTCCTAAAGATTAAAATTACCTACTTACCAGACCAAAAGACACATGTGTGTTTCTTTGCCTGCTGGATCTCTTTGAAGCTCTTGACAATACTGACCATGCCCTAAGTCCTAAGCATTAATTTTTGCTCAGTTCCATTTACATCATTTGCAACTAGGTTTCTCATTTTCTCTGTGTTCTTTTTGTTTTCAATGCAGTTCCCAGAAACTAAATCTATCCATTTAATATTCTCTTTCCCAGGAAAATTCTTCTCGTTCTATTTAAAATTTAACATTCTAGTTTAAAGGGAAAATGGTCTTCTTTTTTGCTTAGCCTTTTAAAAATCTCTACTGAAAAAATTTTGAATACAAAAATTAGCTGGGCATGGTGGCGGGATCCTGTAATCTCAGCTACTCAGGAGGCTGAAGCAGGAGAATCTCTTGAACCTCAGAGGCAGAGGTTGCAGTGAGCCAAGACTGCACCACTGCACTCCAGCCTGGGCAACAGAGAGAGACTCTGTCTCAAAAGAAAAGAAAAGAAAAAATTGTGAAGTGTGGTCTGAGACAACTTTTCTCAGTGTCACCTGAGGGAGGGGTTAAACAGGTATATTCTAGGACAGGGTCAGAATTTCAGTCGAAATTACTTGTTGGTGGGTTTTAGGAATATATATCATTGCTCTTGAGTATTTCTGTTTGTGCTAACGTTCAGCCCCGAGGACTTCATAAGACTAATAACATTGCAAATCTTCTGTAGTGTTTTACAATTTTGTTCTTCATTTTTAAATTCTCACTTTCTTCTCTTTCCTTTTGCACTTCCTCTCATGTTTTTTCCTAAGCACCTGCAAGTGGGATTGGAGCCTTGTTTAGCATCATCCGTGTAGCAATATAAGGATGAGGCCAAATATTTGAACCAAGGATCCCCATCTCCTATGGAAGGTGCCCTGAGGTTGTGGGTGCTGCTGGGGACATGATGTCATGGCCAGATCCTACCTCATGGGGCCAGGGGAACCCAGAACTTTCACTGCCCTTTGCTACTACACATCAGAACCCATCGCTGGGAGTGCCTTGCCCTGCCTGACCTCGCCTGGATATCTGGCTCCTCTGCTGGGTGACCCTGTGTCTCTTGGGGGCAGGTGAGTCCAGGTATCCATAAAAACTTGCATAAAAGGTGTTTTTGACTGGGTGTGGTGGCTCACGGCCATAATCCCAGCACTTTGAGAGGTTGAGGTGAGTGGATCACCCGAGGTCAAGAGTTCGAGACCAGCCTGGTCAACATGCTAAACCCCTTCTCTACCAAAAAATACAAAAATTAGCCGGGCATGGTAGCGTGCTCCTGTAGTCCCAGCTACTTGGCAGGCTGAAGTGATAGGATCACTTGAACCTGGGAAGTGGAGGCTGCAGTGAGCAGAGATCATGACATTCCATTCTAGCCTAGGCAACAGAGAAAGACCCTGTCTTAAAAAAAAAAAAAAAAAAAAAGATGTTTTCTTTGGGCGTCCCTTCACCTTCTATGGCTTCTGTCTTCTTCCACAGGACACTCGGAACCTGCAGACAGCCAGTCCCCTGGACACAAGGTCACCGAGATGGGACAGGAGGTGATTCTGAGGTGCGATCCATCTTCTGGTCACATATTTGTTCACTGGTACCAACAGAATCTGAGGCAAGAAATGAAGTTTCTGATTTCCTTCCAATACTAAAACATTGCAGTTGATTCAGGGATGCCCAAGAACAATTCACAGCTGAAAGACCTAACGGAACGTCTTCCACGCTGAAGATCCATCCCACAGAGCCGAGGGACTCAGCCATGTATCTCCGCAGTAGCGATGACACAGCGTGACTGAGTCAGTTCCCTCCAGGGTGCAAACTCTCTGTCTGCTCTCCTCCCCCACTGAACTCCAAGAAGACATTTGAAAAAGCCTCTTCCTCATCTTCCTACCCCAGATGTGGCTGCAGCTGCTACCAGGAGAGTACAAGACCATGAATTAATGTCCTAAATGGTTGTGATGGGTACACTGGGCAATGGGCTCCTGAAACTACCCAAATACAGAACAAGACATTCTGTGGATTAGGAGGAATCCACATGTTTAGAAGGAAGGGCCCCCAAAGCAATTTCCAAGTGCAGAGACCAGATATCTGAGGTTGATATTACTTACCAAAACACAAAAACATTCCCACTGATTTTATCTCCAACACAGTTCTCCCGCAAACTCTTCCTCCACCAACGTACCCCAGCAGAGACAATGACATGTACATTTGTGGAACAGCCTGCTGACTACTGCAGATCCACCACCTCAACAAGACCAACTTTCCCTGGAGGGCAGTGACTAAACCAAACCGCAAGGCAGATGGAAACACGACCCTCTTAGGGGATGGATGGCAGAGAAACACTGACTGAAATCCGCACTGGGGGACTGTCCTAGCAAATTCAGTTCCTCACACGGCTGCCCAGGGGAGCGCGACATTTTATTCCATTATTTCAAACACTCAACTGTTCCTTTCTCTCTCTTGCAGGCCCTAGACTCACAGACACTGGAATTGGAGTCAGAAAAATTGCTTTCTAATCCCAAATCTGGTTTTGCTTACTCCCCTTCAGCTGTGAAATCCTGGCAAATGCCCTTACTTCTCTGGGACTCAGTGTCCTCCTCTTCAAAATTAGAGACTTGCTCTAATTAGTCTCTAAGATCTGATACAACTATGATTATTTGACTCACTATCTATTTATTTATTTA